TGGAGGTGATGAAGGCTGGGTGCAACTGAACAAGCAGATAAAGTTGAGGATTTCCCACCTGACAGATCCTAGAGACAAAAGAAAAAATTCTTTAGTGCCCCTGAGTGGTGCTGAAAGATTGTAGTAAAGGTCTGTGCATCTGCAATTTTGCTGATGACTCTCTTTTCTTAACTTTTTAGTAAAATTAACAGTATTTGGGATTTTTACAGGAATGCTAAACTACAGAATTCAACAGGGGTCTGAGAAGTTCAGAACAAAGAGCTAAATGGGGGATTAATCGATAATGGATGCATAGGAGCTTTTTTTTATTCTCCTCAAGTTTTAAAAAAAATATTTATTTTCATCAATATATTTCTAATATATAGCATTTTTGTCAATCAATATCTGCTCAGTTAAAGGCCCTATAAGAAACTGCATCTGCATCACTTCTGCACAAATTCAACACAAAGAACTGTGAAATAAAGCTTTCATAGCTCTAAAGTTATGTTCAACAACATTAACATTTCAAGCTGTTTCAATCCCTCCATCTGCTCATGTCTGGGCTTATAAAGTTATGTTTTATACTCTCCCAAGTGGAATTTGCAACATCGCTGCACATGAAGGAGGAGCGAAACCAATTAAACATCATACCATATATACATTACAAAGAAAATCAATGATGCAAAGGTTTGCACTTTCAGACAATGTATCTCTTTTTCCATCATCAATGATGAACAGATCAAACTGAGTTTTTAAATAAAAAAATTTGATTACAAACGTGGGGTTCTAGAGCCAATCATTGGTTACCACTGTGCCCCTCCTACCAGGTGAGGGGCACACCTGGTACAATCTCTGGAACAAGCAGTTCCCATCTGAACCAGAAGGTGGCAGCAGTTATCTTATCTTGTTGAATGTCCTACTTTGACATTTTAAAGTTAGTTTACTAACCAAAGACTGACAACAAAAACACAGCAATAAGGGATAGTTTTTCTCTGTAGTCATCTCAATTCTATGTGAATAAAAGTAAATAACTGCTCTAACCATTTAATGTATATGGAAGCATAAATTAATTTAAAGAGCTCCAATGTGGAAATATGTGTTTAGCTTAATAAACAAGTGCGTCTTATAAATCTGGTCTGTTTTAAGTGATTTATTTGGAAAACACAGATAATTTTCCTGCAGGTTTATTGTGATCAGCATAGACTGACCATGAAATGCTTTTGGCTCCCATTAGTTTTCGGCCACCCCTCAGTTGGACCCTGCCTGGCTGCCCCTATAAAAATATTCTGGAACTGCCACTGATGAGATATACCTCCCTAAATATTTAATAAAATAAATCACATGGACTACATAAATAGATAATATTATCTTTGCTATGGACCATATGGCTTTTGATCTAGGGGCCAAAACTATGCAAGAACAGCTACTGAACTGCTGTTGGGACCCGAAATTAAATGTAGTCTGTGATGTTAAACAACTTTTAAACAGAGGCGCAGCCAGACAATTTTTATATGGGTGGCAGGCAATAACCAATATACACTGAGGGGTGGCTGAAAGCGGATAGGCACCAGAACCTCAGGGTCAATCTACACTGTTCCAACAGGAAAATTAATGAGCGCAACATCCATATTTTCCAAATAAAGACTAACTATACTTTCCCACAGCCTTTGCTAATGAATAGACGCATATATTTAAACATCCATGGTTTCTAAATTAAAGGTATAGTGGATAAAATTCGTTCAGTTTTGAGTTCTGGGACAAATATCTTTTCAATTGTCATTACTTACCTACTTTTATCAATAATCCTTCAGCATAAAATTGATATTTACATGTAGTGATATCTACATGAATTGATTGTTTTATACGTTTTTATTAAAATACTTATTTATCTATGATTTCAATGAAAATTCCTAGATGACACATTATTTTCTCTTTGCCCCATAGAACTAAAAATCTAGTTCTTAAAAGAGTAGGAATTCTGTATTAATCATATTTAATGTTAGCATATTGATAAGCATAATTAACCACAGGTTTTTTATTGTCAAGTAATTGGTAATATATGAAAAAATTAAAATGTTTTGAATATTCCACTTGAGAGCATTACTGCTGCCACTGTCTGTATATGAGGGAAATAAACGGTAGGGGTGGCCAATGATTGGTTAAAGGAGGGCATGGCCACCCATGGCCCCTCATCTAGCTCCGCCCCTGCTTTTAAACTGAATTTAATTTTAAAGTCTTAGGTTTTGTTGCCTTATTTAATTATTTTTTTATGTATTTATCTTCATTCAAACGTATGAAATCACTAACATACATTAGTGATGCTATTGAGGTTTAAAATAAATTCAATTAACAGTGAAGGCGTAAACTGTGATTTCTGGAGCTATGATCTTGTTAGGACTGGCTCAATTTAAGATTCGGGGATGCAAGTCAAATTGCAAAACCTTTTTTTCAATTTAAAGCTGCAAAAAACTGTAACAAAAGATAAGAAAACACAACTAAATATCGCACAGGACCCGAGCCATGTGATGTAAGTTTTATTTGGTTGATGTATTTTATAAAATGAGTTACTTCCGGGGCTGGTGGCACGTCCCAATCCTCATCAGCGGTTGATTAAAGGCGGTGGGGGCAGGGATCAAACGCGCCGCATCCCAACAAGTCTGTGCTCCGCGCGCGAGGCAGCCAGCGCAGAGCCGAGAGGAAACCAGCCTAGCTCAGATCAGATTAAACATAACAACAATAATAAAACAGAAATAATGGCCGGTGGGAGCTCCCTGGAAGCCGTGAAGAAGAAAATCAAGTCTCTGCAGGAGCAGGCCGATGTGGCGGAGGAACGAGCGGCGCTACTGCAGCGGGAACTGAACCAGGAGAGGAGCGCGAGGGAAGCAGTAAGCTGCTAATGATTTAAGGCAATTAGGGCTCCTGGCTGCGGGAGGAATTAGGTGCAAATCCGGTCAAAAAGCGTGGCCGTTAGGCCCAACACCCTGCGGTTTATGTCCGAACAGAGCCCAGTCGGTTTTTAGGCCAATGGGTTTGAGCTCAGTGGGTCAGTGTTGGAGGTGAGGACAGGATGGAGACTGGAGGGACTCCACCCTGAGCCGCCGCTCCGCTTTTAAAAGGCTAAAAAAAAATCCTTACAGGCTGGTTTACGCACTTGGAGGTGCCTTTATCCTCATCTGAACCGTGTTTCATATGTTTTTTATGCACAAGGGAAAAAATACAAAGATGGTTCAGTTTGCGAAATGAGACAGAATTTTCCCTAAATGAAACTTAAACTGTTGAGAAATGCAGGGTAAAATCAGCTCCCCCACTCCCTCCTGAGAAGCCCCTCTTGTTTTACAGCTCAGACCTGCTTTATCAGCGCCTGATCTCTAACTCTGGTTGTGTTTCTGTCTCCAAGGCTGAGGGTGATGTAGCCTCCCTGAACAGACGCATCCAGCTGGTTGAGGAGGAGTTGGACCGAGCCCAGGAGCGTCTGGCCACAGCTCTGACCAAGCTGGAGGAGGCTGAGAAGGCTGCTGATGAGAGTGAGAGGTGGGTAGTCTGCTCGCTCATTTCTTTGAGCTCAAAGTCCGTTTATATATAAAAACACTGAACTCCCATCAGTGATTATTAGGTCAAAAAATAAAACAAACCAAGAATAGGTACCTAGTAGCCAGAAATTTTTTTATAAGGGTGGCCAATGATTGGCTAAGGGCAAGCCCATCATCTGAGAGCATAGAAGTTGATTCGGTTTTAGAAATACTAAATGTTAATGATATAAAACAACCTTTGATTCTTTTTTTTTTTTGTTGAATTCAAAATGAAGGCCTCATTTCAATAACATACAGCACATGTTACTGTATCCTATTTGCTGTAGGCCTTTGAATCAAACGCTCAGAATCCAGAAAACCCTCTGAGGTTTTTATAAAACATAAGCATTAATCACTGCTCTACAGTGCTACAAAGAAAAACTTCAATGAATACATGAACCCTGAAGGTCTGATGTTTCTCAGTTTCAAAACATTGTAGAGAAGTGATAGAAAAGTTTAACTCTCTGCAAAAACTGGGTTCAACAAATTACTTTTTTTGTTAATTTTGGCCACAAGTGTCAGATTATATGCAATAGTTAACCTGGTGTTTATTCACCCACAAATCATTGATGACAAAGAGTCTACAGTACATATCTGTTCCAATAGGACATCAGATATTTTTATTTTGGTAAAGAAATGTAATTTCCTTTCATTCAGGTGCTCTAAAGCTGCACTGAAGTTTTATAGACAAATTTCCTTAAAACTTACTTTAATGCTTTTTTTCCTCCATTCCAGAGGTATGAAGGTTATTGAGAACAGAGCAATGAAGGATGAGGAGAAGATGGAGCTTCAGGAGATCCAGCTGAAAGAGGCCAAAAACATCGCTGAGGAGGCTGACCGAAAATATGAGGAGGCGAGTTCCTCAGCTCCCTAAACGTCTCCACCCTCTTCCCTTTGATATAGCAGCTTCCAAACTGTTTGCAGGGATTTGAATGATTGCTGTTTGTGTTGTGAGTTCAGGTGGCCCGTAAGCTGGTGATCATTGAGGGTGACCTGGAACGTGCAGAGGAGCGTGCCGAGCTGTCTGAGAGGTAGAACCCCCATCCTTCATTTGTTTTGCGGTCAATGACCTTTAATAGTTTTTAAAATTTTCTTTCTACGCTGCTGTAACCCTGCAGTAAATGCTCTGAGCTTGAGGAGGAGCTGAAGACCGTGCAGAACAACCTGAAGTCTCTGGAGGCTCAGGCAGAGAAGGTAGGCTGGTTAGTCGGGTTGGATGAAATCCTGATGTCAAATAATGAGAAAGATGTCAAGATTTTCTGACTCCAGTCTTTGTATGAAACTACAGTACTCACAGAAGGAGGACAAGTACGAGGAGGAGATCAAGGTTCTCACAGACAAGCTGAAGGAGGTCAGTGAGCTCAAACTTTTACATTTGATCCATCTTATCTGGCTTCTAATCCAGCATTTTGAAAGTTCATTACTTGCTACTTTTCAGAAATGTTGATTGTGGTTACAGCATGTTCCCCATAAGTGATGCACTTTTATTTTACCGCCATCAATGTTTAATGTTGACGTCTTAATGGCGGTTTGCTGACTTTACTTTGTTCTTCCGCTCAGGCTGAGACCCGTGCAGAGTTCGCTGAGAGATCAGTCGCCAAGCTAGAGAAGACCATCGATGATCTGGAGGGTATGATCACTTTTTTCCTTAGATTTTTGTTGCGCTTTATAAAAACAATCATAGGGATTTCTATTTCTTTACATAATCAGTCTCCTAGTTAAACACAAGTGGTGTAAGGTTGTTAATTTAGTCTGCAGGATGCAGCAATATGGCTGTACCTGCTGGTAAAAGGCATATGAATATGATGAAACAAGGAGGCTCGTTGTTTTATTAACGAAGTTTAACTCGTATTTACTTTGCTAATAACCACTGTGAGTAGAACGATAAAGGAGGCAGAACATATTTTATGATTATAGTTTGAAAGCTTCATTTAAGAAGGGCACCTTAATGTTGTCAAGTCTCCATATGTCATTAAATGCTGTCTAAATGCCAGCTTTTTAGGAGAGATCAATAAAATATTCAACTTGCCTGTTAAATGGAACCATGTGCTCACGTCAGACTGAACCCATTTTCACCCCTTGCCCCTCCGGTCCAATGGCTGGGGCGTCCCGCTTGTTTTCTGGTGAAGGACTTATTGGCTAATAGCCCTGAAACATTTTCTGAGATATGTTTGGGGTGAAATATAATTCATTTTCTACATCCCAGTAATCGCTGTAAACTTTGATTAAGGTAGACTTTATTGATCCCACAGAGGAGAAATTAATTTGATCTCATTCCCACTTTAATATAGGGTACAGGATCTGTGATGCTGTGGTCTTTTTGATCTTTCAAAAGTTCTATAGATCTTGTTAAAGTATGCTTTCAGAAAAATCCTTTAAATATGAAGCTATTTCTTGAAAAAAAAAAAAAAAAAAAAACAATTTAGTGCCGTCTAGTAGAGAACTTAAATGTGTGTCTTAAAAGATTATAATCAGAAATATAAGGCTAATTCCAAATAAATAGTTTACCGCAAACACAATTGCCATTTTCTGATACCTTAGGCCTAGATTACCCAAGACAACCGATGGCAAAAGGAAAATGAAACACTCTGGATAATCTAGATTAGGGGTAAGGGGAGTCCAGGTCCAGTCCTCGGATGCTGTCATCTCCCCTCTGACAATCCACTGTCAGATTAGTGGCTCATTATCAGGCCTCTAAGATGAATGACATGCTGAGGGAAATGGTGACGATGGAGGACTGGACCTGGAGATCCCTGATCCAGAGTTTGTGCTAAAAGTGGTATATTCTGAAAGCAGGAGCACCAACAATTGTGAAGGATTCTGTTCTGCAATTATTCGTCATATTGGTTTCCCTACAGTTTAAAAAAAAGTTCTTAAATTGTTGTTTAGATTTATTATTACTAAATGTAAGATGATGCTTCTGTGGTAATATTTATGCAAAGCTTTTTAAACTTTACAGCAGATGTCAGCAAATTTCTCAGCTTTATATTTGCGTGGTCAGTTATTGACTGTATAGGTGTGACATTATTCATGCTGGCAGTATTTGTCACTGCGGTGCATTTTATCACTGCTCCAAGTCCCCAGCATTCATCTCTGGGTCATGGAACATGTGAGGCAGGTTTTCTGACTCCTCAGGAATTTGACCCGACATCGGCAGCTGTTCCTTTTACCCCTCCTCTTTTCTGCCCGGCCTAACTTTCTTTTGGCAGTTTTTCTGTTCCTTTTACTTCCATTTTCTGATGTTTTGTATTTTCTGTTCTTGTTTTCACACCATCCACTGCTACTTAATTACAATTACAACTTGATAGACGAGCTGTATGCCCAGAAACTGAAGTACAAGGCCATCAGCGAGGAGCTGGACCATGCCCTCAACGACATGACATCCATGTAATTTACAACATGCTTGATTTTTAACTTTTTTTTAGACCCCCAGATCTCTAACCACCGTCTCAGTAGCCCCCCCTTGTGGCATGTTTGAGTGCAGTGATCTAACTGGTTTTAGCTTTAGAAGGGTGCAGTTTTAGCTCTATTAATTTATATATTTTTTTTACTAACTCTTTAGGCAAAATAGTGAATCAGTGTTATGATTTGATGTAGTTTTTTTTTCTTAACTCTCCTGCATCAAAGAAATCAGTTAATTTTCCAGCTTTTCTAATTTTCTCTGCATCCATTTCCCCCTTTGCTTTTATATTTTTTTGTTTCCATTTTCTCCAACTTTATGTGCTTTTGTGTTTTCACAGCTAAACCTTTACACTCCTCACTTGGGAAGCTTGTCGAACATCATCATTTCACTCCTGCGCAGCTCAGCCCGACTTTCTGTTTCTCTTTATTTTTTTTCTGTACGTCTTTATTGCCCTGCCATGACTGCACATCGGGCCTGTGCTGCCAGCATCCCTTGTTCCATCTCCTAAACAGAACTTTGAGCCATATTGCTTTCTGTAAAATAAACACTTTTCCATCTGTCTATGCACAATCTTTCCCTTTCTCTTGTGATGTTCTTTTTTGTCCTTCACTGTTTTATTTATTTTTTGATTGGTAGCTTTTAAATAAACTCTTTAGCTCCCCCCTATTTACTGTTTATTTTTTTATTCTGTCTGAATTTAGGGGGCTATCATGGAAATACTGATATTAACCATTTAAAATTATGACTGAATGCTCTGCTCTGTGATGGATTAAGAAAAACACAAGAAACTGGACTCAATATCAAATTAAGCCAGTTAAATTATTCCCTTCTTCCTTCATTTCAATTTAACTTTATTTACCATAAACTTGTCAACATTTTTTGGGTGGGGGTGAAAAAAAACATACATCACAGAAAATCTGAGGAATTCTGAATTTATAACTGAAAGATGTATGAGCGCTGTTAGAGCTGGCAGATTATGGCCAATAAAAAAAAACCATTCACTCTGCTCTCCTGCAGTTTTAACTGCTTCTTAGCCTTGCGGTTGTTAAACATTGTTTTGAAAGCGGAGTCCAAAAATTCCCTAAATCTTCGGATAACCTGCCCTATTCACTACTAAGACCTTACTGATCATCCACCACAGCTGAAAGCTGGAATTATGCTTTAATACATCTTCTAGAACATGACTGGCTGACACAAACTGTTGTCCAACCTGCATATTCCAGTTGTGTCCACTCTACCTTTTAAAGGACTGTACATAATGCAGTTTACAGCTAGTGTTTGTAAAATTTCCTGCAGGATGCTTGATGGAAATGGTAGCCGTTTTAGTCAAAAATTAAATGGACAGATTTTAGACTAGTGTCATTTATGCAATTAAAGCCAACCTTGCTGAAGTCAAAACAGGAACTGAATTAACTCTTAACCCCTTGAACCCTACGGACCCACCGGCGGGTCCAGCTGCTACATGACCTCGTAATTTTACCAAACCCCCAGTATTGATGTAAAAAACATATTTGGCACAGTTTGGTGACATTTATGGATAAATGTGCCAAACTGGCCCCTCCGCCTAAGAAATTTCTCACTAATACCATTCTAAAATAAATGATTCATCTGACTGAGTCCAAATTTGGTATATTTTTACACAACATTTAGATTTGAAAGTCTGTACTACTTTTTTGTGCTATAAATAATATTTTGGTAGTGTTTTGCAATGTTTATTTCAAAGAAAATTTTGGCGAGGTTCAAAAAATGCAAAATATTTTGTATTTTGTCCCTAATATTTCAGGCAGGGTCAAAGCTACAATGGTGCTGACACCAGAAAACCATTCTATGACATCTTACCTTTACTGACGTACCAAAAGTTTCTTCTTAAATCTAATAGCTTTGAGGCTATAAGTTATTTACTTTTGTGTGTTTTTGTCAGGCAGAAATTTATTTATACCCCCTTAGGGTGTAAGAGGTTAAGACTAAATATAATGTGTGGTAGAAGGCAAGACTTGGCAACCATAAAAGATTGCTAGGAGAAACAGGGTAATATGTCACAGTTTTTACTTTAATTTAAATTCCCAAAAGATTTTAACCTCAGTTGGATCTATTTTAATGTCTATCAGAAGCCCAAAGTGTCAGGTCTGAACAGAGGGACCTTTTGTTCTGTAATAAAAATCTGTGCAGAAGATATGAACCATAAATTACAATATGTGCTTTCGTGATAATCATCCCCACTAAGGTTTGGTTTTCCCAAAGCTATTTCAATGGGAAAACCATAAAAATGAATACATTTTAAGTCTTTTGATTCTAAAGGGCTATTGAGAGGAGCACAGAAATTTGAAAAATTATATTTTATTGTGGGAAAAACAAAATCTATCTCACTATAATGTCGGCTCTCACATTATAAATATTTGTCAGCCCAATTTAGGAAATTTCTGTATTAATATATTGCAACGACGCCCCCTGAGGGGGCGGGACAAACTAATGTGAAAACTAACCCTGTTCTCCACTAATATTTTAGAAAGTCTCATGGATTAATTTGAAGATATGCAGGTTTTGGTAAAGAACATAATGAGGGGCAGTTTTTCTAATCATGAAAGACAACTTGGAGTGTGAAGAAATCATCGATTTATCTGAAATAAAGCTGTGTGTTTTATTCTGGGTCTTTTTCCACTAACGCTTTGTCTTTATGTACTAACTTTTCCTCTGTTTCTTTCCATTTTCTCTAACTGCTTTCTGACTGTCAAGACCATCTATACAAACAGCTTGAGAAAAACCGCCTTCTCACCAATGAACTGAGTGTTGCCCTAAATGAGGCCTAACCTGGAAAGGTTTCACTGATGCTGGCACTTTTTTTTTTATAACTGCAGAATCTAAATGCATTGTGGATTTGTTAGATTAAGCAGGTAGAATTCTATCTACAACAGTGATATAATCAACAAAATGTATATTTGACACTCTGTATATTCAACCTGATGCGTAAGGTGGGATCTGAGGATTAGTCAGAAGAACTTGTCTTTTTTTTTTCTTCTTATAATTCTGGTTTAACTTGCTCTGCCTTAATACCAATGGAGTGGGTTACTTCTACGTCTACATGTCATCTAGAGTCCCAGGATCATTTAGAGCAGGGTTCCCAATTTCTGGTCCTCAGTCTGTTGTCCTGCAGAACTGATTCAGAATCTAAAAAGGGCAGAGCAGCAGATCTTGAGGGCTGGAAATGAGGAATCCTGATCTAGAGTTACATTTGGTTAAAAGGGAATTTCTAACTTGGATCAGCAGGGTTTCTATGAGTGTCAATTTAAGAGTATAAACCTTAATTTAAGTCTCAGACTTAAAATGTGTGACTAAAGACAAAATAGGTTTGGTAAGTCCATTATGTAAAATTAGATAAAATTGTTTTCCCTTCTGTTCTGTAACAAACTACAAACATCTAGTTTCAAAAACCTTCTATGGAATGTTAATGGGGAATGTTGAAGATTGAGGTTATGTTCTGTTGCTGTTTAGAATTAGTTCTTCAGCAAGAACTACTCCAAAATGTATCAATGAATGCCACTAGTGTACTTTTAGAAATACAGTGAGGATAATGAGTATTTGAACACCCTGTTATTTTGCAAGTTCTACCAGTTAGAAATCATGGAGGGGTCTGAAATTGTCATCATAGGTGCATGTCCACTGTGAGAGATAGAATGCAGAAATCACAATGTATGATTTTTTTTAACTATTTGTATGATACAGCTGCAAATAAGTATTTGAACACCTGAGAAAATCAATGTCAATATTTGGTTCGGTAGCCTTTGTTTGCAATTTAGAGGTCTAACATTTCCTGTAGTTCTTCACCAGATTTGCGCACACTGCAGGAGGTATTTTGGCCCACTCCTCCACACACATCTTCTCTAGATCAGTCGGGTGTCTGATCTGTCGCTGACAAACATAGAGTATGAGCTCCCTACAAAGATTCTCTATTGGGTTTAGGTCTGGAGACTTGCTAGGCCACATCAGAACCTTGATATGCTTCTTCCAGAGCTACGCCTTAGTTATCTTGGCTGTGTGCTTCAGGTCATTGTCATGTTGGAGACCCAGCCTCGACCCATCTTCAGTGCTCTAACTAAGGGAAGGAGGTTGTTCCCCAAAATCTTGCAATACATGGCTCAAGTCATCATCTTATTAATACAGTTCAGTCACCCTGTCCCATGTGCAGAAAAACGGCTGCAAAGCATGATGCTACCACCCCCATGCTCCACAGTAGGGATGGTGTTCTTGGAATGATACTCGTCATTCTTCTTCCTCCAAACACGGTTAGTGGAATTATGACTAAACGGTTCTATTTTGGTCTCATCTGACCAGATAACTCCTCTGGATCATCCAAATGGTCATTGGCAAACTTAAGACGGGCCTTGACATGTGCTTGTTTAAGCAGGGGAACCTTCCGTGCCATGCATGATTCTAAACCGTGATGTCTCGGTGTATTACCATTAGTAACCTTGGAAACGATGGTCCCAGCTCTTTCCAGGTCATCGATCAGCTCCTCCTGTGTAGTTTTAGGCTGTTTTCTCACCTTTCTTAGGATTATTGAGACCCCATGAGGTGAGATCTTGCATGGAGCCCCAGTCTGAGGGAGATTGTCAAACGGTGTTTGCTCTAACAGTGGATAATTTTTCACAAAGCTGCTTGGCAATTTCCCAGTAGCCCTTTCCAGCCTTGTGGAGGCTGTAAAATTTTGTCTCTAGTGTCTTTGGATAGCTCTTGTTAGTAGTTGGATTCTTACTCATTTTATGGGGTGGACATTCTGGCCGCAGACTATCAGGTCTTTGAGGGTCAGAATTCTAGCCGATAGGTGTTCAAATGCATATTTGCAGTTGTTTCATACAATTTGTATGAGAATTGTGATTTCTGGATTTTTTTTTTTTTTTGGACATTGTCACAGTGGACATGCACCTACGATGACAATTTCAGACTCCTCAATGATGTCTAAGTGGGAGAGCTTGCAAAATAGCAGTGTTCAAATACTTATTTTCCTTGCTGTAAGTCTGTAGAACAAATGCATTTAAGCTGTAGCTAAATTCAATCTAAGACCTATTATGGACGCTCTGATGAATTGGACTTTGCAAGTTCTAAAATTTTGCTTTTTAGCCCCACAGAAACTCTGGATAGGTGCACTTAATTCCCACAGATTTTAGGTTAACAAGAATATAATTGGGCATCCATGTAGAAATACTTTTGTAGCTGTTTCTGCTTGATTTCAGTGTCTCTTTATAAAGAAATCAATTGCAAGTTTTGATTGAAAGAAAAAGTGGTGGTGCAACTTTCTTGGATTGAGGTTGGAACAACTTTTCAAAACAAGAAAAATATTTAAAACTATTGAAATAAGTGGGACAAAATATCAAAAAAATATCCATATTATTGTATTTAGCCCCACTTAATGCATTGCTGACAGTCTAGACTTTGTTGGTCAATAGCTCAAGCTAAATCTTCCTAATGATGTAAAAGAATTCATTTAGGTTTGGATCCTGGCTCACAGCATGAGCCCACAGCTGAGAACCTGTACTTGATAGGAAATACTTGATAGAGGGAAGAAAAAATGAGGTAAAGTCTCAGCATGTGTCATCTTACGTTCACTTGAACATTATCAATGTATATTCTCTGCACTGTTTATTTTTTTATCTAATGCTTCTAAACTGATATAATGCTGTATTGACAGACAAACTTGCATGTACTAAAGAAGAGGGCCTGAGCATCAGGCAGGCTCTGGAACAGACCCTACAGGAGATGGTAGATCTTTGACCCAGCTGTTCCTGCCCACTACCTGACTCCACATGCTCCAAATGACCGGCTCCCACACGCTGCGGCTGTCGCTGCAGTTGCAGTAGACGTGTGGGTCTGTGTTTGTCAACTACAGGACAAAAGCCCTGTATGAAGTAGCAGAAACCGTTTTGAGCTGCAGTGTTTATATTGGACGCTCAGTTCAAAGACCTGTTTAAGTTCACTGTACATGTCTTATGGTTTACATTTAAGTGTTGGAACTTTGCACATTTGGTGAGAAAACAAACTGCACATGATCATTATGAAAGAAGCCATAATTTAATCCATGCCTATAAAAGGGACTTTTATTATCTGTACTTTTGTAAGATCATTTGTTTTTCTTTGTCATAAACTCGCATTCAATGTTCTTCTCTTTAGAGTTCAATTTCTTGCACATTTGCAAATGTACTGTTGTCAGCCATGATAAGCAAACACTTTTCTCTGTGCTGTCTCTAACATTGTACTGTTTTCTCCTGTAGACACTAATTAGATTTTTGACATTTTTATCTTGGAAATCTATAAATCATGAATAAAAAAAATAAATGAAAGCTTACTGTTTTTTTTTTTTTTTTGTACAGCCACTAACTTGAACAGCCTTTGGATTTTTCCCAACAGAATGTACAGCATAATTGAAAGAGATAAAATAGTTTATACGCAGTCTGAAAGATATGGGATTTTCTTTGATTTTCCTAGTTAGGATGATGGGGAAAATGGGTGTGGATTTTTTTTTTTCTTTTTTCATAATTTTTCTTTTCACTTTTCTTAAAAAAAATAAATAAATAAATCAAATGTGTGATGTATTATTAAATGTAGTTGTACTGCTTTCTTTGTTTAATATGCACATTTTGAGAAAACAAACTGCACATGATCACAACTTGATTACTGTTATACCCATCAGTTTTGACATCTGATTTGTATATACGTGTGTGTGTGTGTGTGTGTATATATATATGTATATATATATATATATATGTGTATATATATATATATATATGTGTATATATACACTTTTTTTTCCAACCCCAAATTGAACAACTTTAAAACTTAAATGTTTTAAAGTGAGCCTGAGCCTCAGTGGATGTGGTTTAAATGCTGAAGATTGCACTCAAACCCTTATATTATGTTGTTCACAAGTTAGACTTTAAAGATTTTTATTTTTAAGATGCCCTACTACGTGTCTGATGGAGGACTTGCACATTTAGTTTTTTCTTTAACAAATGCCAAAATCTCAAATTTTGGTAGGAAAAAGAAAAAAAAATGGAATCTAGTTTAAAATCTCCAGATTCCTACATGTTTTATTTTCCCCACAGGATTTAATACTGGAATTTGATTGGCTCATTTGAATGTATAAATATGCTTTAAACAAAGATTTGGTTTTGCATATATAACATGGATGGAATAAGAGCCTTATTTCTGCCCATGCCTGCTAATAAGATTTTAAATGGATTTATTTAATATTGCTGCCTTCTTGGAGGTTTGCAGATTAAGTGAATAAGGTTGTCTTTCTGGTGCTCTTTATGAGGCCTTTACAGCTCAATCCCTCAGTAAAGCTCTCTCTGCCCGGCTTGTGAGGTAAGGTGGACTGCTTAGTAACTAGGTGATTGCTTTGGGTAATTGTTGCCTTGGGTTCTATTTAGCAGTATGAAAATATAAATAAGTCATACCATATGAATATTTCAGACTTAAAAGTATTGTACAATTAGTACAATACGATATGTGTATGCCGTTTCAAAAGGTTTCTGGTTGTAATGTGACAAGATTTGAGTGAATATATTAAGACTAGCGGAAGTAGAAATATAGTTAGGGTTATAATTAACCCAGTTATTGATTTTTAACTGCAAAAAAACTATATAGAACATTAATAATTACAAACATATGCAAAAACAAAGGGCTTTACAGAACAGAACTATTTTAAAATGTCAAACTCTAATCTATGCTCGAGGGTTATAATCCTTTAAGGGCAGTTATAATTTGCATGGCTTTAGCATTTGAAATATAAATTAAAAGGATTCTATATATATATATATATTAATAGAAGATAATATTGGGAAAATCTGGAAATTATGTATTTGTAAATATTTGGAGGTGTGAATATGATACCATAAAAAAAAAAAAAAATATATATATATATATAAAAATTCTGTTTTGACAAATTCACATTTCTCCATCCCAAACGAAACACCCTCATCTGTTACTGTAATGTCAAGATTTTTTTGATGAAAAAAATTTGACATCTCACTCCAGAATATTTTGGTATGATTACAATCCCAAAGAAAGATGAATAAGATTTTCTTCATTATCTTTACAAAAAGTACACATTGGGTTTAAATCCCATTTATATATATGTATATATATATATAAATCAAAAATGCTTTAACAGGATAAACATCATGAATAATTTTATAATAAATTTTCTCTAGCGTTGGACCAATAAAATATGCAAGATGGTGAAAAAACATATTTCTTAACCTTTTGTTGCTTGTTTTCTTACTTATAAAAGGACAATCATAATCAATATAAATGGAGTTTGAATCAAAACTTGGCACTGAGTAAATTTGACGTTTGAGTAAAGATGATAAAAGCTTTAATGACCGACTAGTGATAAAACAAAACAGCATATTCTTAAAGGGGAACAGGAAATTGGAAAAGTAACATAAAGTCAGAATAAGACAATAAATGACCATTTGAATTTATTAATTGGCTTACAAGTAATATTCCCCTATCAAACCATTTTCTATAAAACACCGTCTTATATTTGTATTTAATGTCTTCATTATTCCAGATATACCGGTAATATTATTTTTTGTAGATTTTACCTTTGAGCTCCCTGTGCGTTATATCCTCCTCACCGCATGGGGCAGTATTGTCAATCCAGCCGGCAGCGCCAACAGCTGTGGAAGCGTAGAGGTAAAAGTTCCTAGCTGTGCGACATAACCGACCAGCAGAGAGTAAAATATGAGTGAAAGTCAAGATTTTGGGGACCCTTTTCAGGACAGTAAGGCAGCATACGTGCTTAGTAATGTCGCCGAAGTGGTTGAGAGAGTTCTCATGTTCATACCAACCAAATCTCTTCTACAGGTCGCAAGGTAATGGAAAATGTTTGCAAGCTAAACTGTTAACTTGGCTAGCATTAATGTGTAATGAATAACAAATGAAAGTGACTGTAATTTACGGAGTAAATGTAAAGCTAAATTGGTTTATATAGTCATTTTATTTACAGGTTGTATGCGAAGTTTGTAGCTTAAGTAGAAAGCTTAGTGTATGAAGTGTGAGTTTTTGGTTGGACAGCAGGTGAATGTGTGTGTTCTTCCTGTTAGTGTGTGCAGACTGTGGCGGAACTGCGCCCGCAGAGTGCTTCGGACTCAGCAGCACCTCACCTGGGTGTCCGCGGCTGGACCCTCCACCACAGAGCTCCACTCTTTCTGCAGCCTCCTGGCCGAAGAAGTGGAGGTAAACTACCGAGCCTAAAACCTAGAGCGAAAGCTACAAAGTTAGCTAGACGAAGCTGAAGAGAAATAACCCAGTGGGGAGAAAAAAACAACAACGTGTAGGGATTCCCCTTTTTTTGTTAAAAAACAACAAAAACACTGCAATTTTCACACCGTGACTTATTCAATATAAATGCGCATGTCATAAATTTGAATACTCGCCAGGAAAGGTGGTTTATTTCAGTTCTAGCAGATCCTTAAAAAGTCTTAAAAGAAATTGAATTCTTCAATATAAAAATAAGGCCTTAACCCTTTATAGGGTAAGTTACTGTCCCCCCCCCCCCTTCCTTTCTTCCTCTATGGAAAGTTTTTCAAAACTGTAAACATTTCAACTGGGCCAGAAAGTAATGCTTTATGTTAAAATAAGCATCAGGTTAAATTTGTCGCAACCAGGTTTTTTATTGTGTTAAATTTGAAGTTGGTCTTAAAGTTTTATTTCAAGGGACACAAAAAGTCTTACATTTAACTTACTCTTTTATTGTCCCTTACAGTTTGATATGAGACGTTTAGTTTGGTTTAATTTTCATTATTTCTGTCTATCGGTAGTCAAAATGTGGAATCCACATACTTAGAAAACTATGTTTTTTTTAAGATATTTTTTTTAAAATCCTAAATCCATGCTTAAGCTATGCACATACACACTCCAATAGAATTAGATACCTAATTGTTTCAACTCAGCTGTTTTGCTAAGGTTTACTTTCTCAGCATGTTAAGAAAGTGCACCCTAAATGCACCAGGGAGCGTTATAACAGATCCATCCTACCTGCAGCTGTAAGACTTTATAACCATCACTGTTCCCAACAACCTCAATAAGTTGTTACATTCATGCCGATTTTGCACAGTTTCTATCTTGGTCAGTTAAATAACATGCTGCAGCATTACTGTAAAAATGTCCACAGCTGTATATTGGTGATTTATTCTTCAGTTTCACAGTATTTATATTGTTAAAATACTTTCAGTACAGTATTTTTTATTTGTTTATATTTTAACTCTTCACTATTGTTTCATTCGTGTACACTTTTCTAAGATCCACATTTGTGTGACATTTTTTTCTATACACTACAGTTTCCCCATTGTTGGACAATAAAGGGATTTTAGTCTTTAATTCAATGATCTGGTCTTGGACCAGGAATGTCTCTAACGTTAACCTGTGCTGTAAGCCATCACAATGCAGTTACCAAACATTTATCTATAAAACCTTTTTTGTTCATCAGATGTGAAATGTTTAAAATTGCTGACAATCAAAACATTGTTTTTATTTTGTTTAAACCAGTATCATAAATTGTGTCTCACATACATTTTAACAAATAAATCTGTTTTCCTTCTTGAATGAAATACTGAAATACAAACTCTAAATATGCTCAAAGTAATAAAGCATGGTTGTGTTGCGTGGTATTAAAAACCTCATACTATTGCAAGATGTTTTAATAGATGAACATATCCTGATCATCTTTATAACCTGGAACAGCTTTATCACTGACAGCTGTCTGAGATTCAGAGATCAACTGCAGTTGGACTGTATAAAAGCCTTAAAGCTGTATATTAATTGCATGCAAAACTTTCCTAATGTCTGTACTATAACATCTAACATGTTCCAAGCATTTATGACAGTATTATTGCTATAACAATATTTTTTTGGTGTCTTGTACAGCCCTAGAGCATATATAATATTGTACAGTTCAGGCAGTTACCAAACTAATCAATAAATTATACTGCTGATAGTTTGTAGTTATGGCTCTAAGAATGAAAGTGTAGATGTAAATCATTTTTCTGGATTTGATCCATCTGTACTTTCTCCCCAGAGGAAAATAGGTTAATAGGTACATAGAACTTGAAATTTGAAATACTTTAGAGAATATTTCTGGCTCTATTGGGGGAGTGGGAGTTGTAGGTGTGATCTAGAATGAAGACAGGGTTACATACATTTATGTACGGTATTCTTTGGAGCCTGAAACTCAATTTCAGTGCAGCTGGCCTCCCTCATAGATTTTAGAAGCCTCTCTTTAGACTTCTTTTCAGCTTTTTCTTGCTTTAGCATCCCCAGGAAGTTCTGCTTGTCCGTGTTTACATTTAAGTACTGAGAGGTTACTGACAAAACTATTAAACTGCTGCTGAAGATTTCAGGGACTAAAATTAATATTATTCATCTGTTTAACAACAATTGTTTATCCAAATGGGTGTTTAAAGAAATGGTGGGTCTATGAATCATCAGAACATTTTCTATCCACGTTAAAACAAAAAGCTTCACCAAGTTTTATTTTTTATCTGATTGTTTTCAGAAAGTTTTCCTCCTGCCTAAAACGGTTCTGATGATGGTAGACTGTGAGGCCTTGAGTGGACAAGCTTATTGCTATGAACAGAGCAAAGGTCAGTAATATTTATTTTTTTCCTGTAACTCATTAGCAGGTTGAAATAAACCCTAACACTGTTTTCCACATTATACTTTTTTATTGTGTTAATAATTAGACAGTTTAGATTGGCACTCTTTGCTGCTCTATGTAGCAAACCTACATAATTATCACCTAAAAGGAAGTTTTAACTACTTTCAATGTTTTTTTTTGTTTTTCTTTTGCAGCCAAATAGGTTTTTGAGGCCGTTTGGCTGAAGGTGTTGATGGCTTCATTAAAACCGAATCAGACTAGGTGTTTAATATGGATTTTGAACTGCTGAAAGTTTAAATTCCATTGAAAACACATGTATTGAATTTAAATAGTTAGGAAATGATCCAAAATGTTGAACTTATTCAATGTTATATATGCTTCTTATAAAATATGTGAAAGAGACTCTCTGTATGCTCTTCAGGGTTTGACTAGTTCTCTGCTAAATTTTGTTTTCCATTTTGTAATAATGGTGTTCACCTCCATTTTTGGAGACTTTGAAAAAACTATAACTAAACCTGTATGCTAGATTCAGCTATTGAATTCAGAGAGGCAGTTGTAAGTGAAGTAAAAAGAGGCGAACAGTATCCCTGCTATTTCAACAAAGCTTGCTGACAAAAAGTGTGTTCTCTGAACATTTTCAGTATTTGATATCTCATGCTTTTACATTTTAAAAACGGTTACTATATTTTGTGGATGCAAAACAAGCATTGGTTGAAAACCACCACTCAGTGTCTGTCTCATATTAGCTGACCCTATCATATAGTTGCTGCACATTGAGAATTATACAGTATTTTGCTTGCTATTACAGAAGGTGACTGCTTTTCTTTGTAAATTTGAGGTCAGGATGCCATAAATTACATTTTGCTTTACCTACTTTCTCCTCAATGTTACTTTTAAATGTAAATGTTTTAAAATCTCCCTATTTCTTGGATTAAAATGTTTTTGTTTTTATACCTGAAGCAAAAAAGAGTCGCCAGTGTTCAAACACAGCGGATGAACTGAACCAGATCTTCCCCAAAGGCTGTGATGTTGTTGGCATTGCTACACCGGGCATTGTCTGTAAGTGTTTCACTTTTCTTCATTTGCAAAGATTCATTTTCATATTGGTAAAATAGATTTTTTGGGAAGATATTGACACTAATTGCTTATATGTGTTTGATTCTTCCATAAATCCCCGCTGCTGTTCGACTAGTGCTTGAAATCTGTGATATTAACCTCTTAAGCCTGACGGGCCGACGGGCCCTGTTCCAGGCCCAGCTGACATATGTGCATTTTGATCTATTTATGGATGCAGATAAAACACAGTGAAGTTTTTTTCTTCCACCAACATGACTTTGAAGAAAGCGCTTTAAAGTTTCTAAGACAAAAAGAAATTAAAGGTTTTACACTAAGACTTGTGGAATTGCAGCCGCATAAACAAATAAAATGAAAAAAAAAAAAAAAAAAGAGAGAGACTGGGAGGCTTTCAAGAAAATTTATTTGGACCAAAATCTTCTGAAAACAGCTTAAATTTTAATGTTGAAGATGAAGAAATGATCCCTAGAGATCTTCTTTTTGAGACTGCAACTTAATATTTTCTGGTTATTTACGTGTCTGCCATTTCAACAAGAGGACGCATAAACAAAGTAGGAAATAATGCTGACCTGGTTATAAAAAAATTTGCTATGAATTGCACCTCAACCCAACGCAACTACTGTATGTGGAATTGATTCAGGGGACTTTCTAAAGTTTTAACATTATCCACAGTTTACTAATACACATTAATGGTACAGCAGAACAACATATTATATATATATATATCATGTTTTCTCTAGCCATTTTTGCTGGTCAGACTATATTTTTGAATGTCTTGTAATTCAAAATTCTAATTTTCTATGCAATTTTTTTTAATATTCTGCAGTATACAAAAGTAAATTTTGATAGAACAGGGATATCTCATTAAAAAACCTGCTGAAGTAGCCATACCACGGAAATCGACACTATCATTTGACCAGATTCATTTTTTTTAGGAACTCACCCCCAAATATTTCGCACCTTTGTGCCAAAATCAAAGGTCTGCCTGCCTCACTCTCCATTAAAACCTTTGTGGAGCTAATGTGCTTGGAGTAATTTAGTCCAAAATGACTGCAGTTATAGTCAAGATGTGAGACTATAGAATCTGAGGCTTCATCCAAAGTTTCAAACTTCCACGCTGTTTTAAAGTGTTTGAAATAAAAAAAAAGTTGGTGAGGCTCAAAAATGTTTATTTTATGTTTCATGTTGCTTTTATATAACAGAAATGATCACATTTATACTGATTCCCCTTGAAAAATATTCTTTAATGACTCTGTGTCATACAGATATTTTTATTTTTTATTCTTTATAACTCTGGAGCTACACTTGATATAATCAGGTATTTGATTTGAGGTGAAAATTGCTGCTAACACTCTGGGCTTAAGGGGTTAACAGATTTATCTTTTGTGCTCCTTTGAAGTGTAGAAATCACATCCTTTGTAGCCTCAATAAGTTGAATAGTTATTTCCCTCTGCTTCTGCCAGCTTGGAAACTACAATGGCTGACTTGTCTCACACTAATCGATTGCCCAATGTCCCTGCTGCTGAACCTCTCATTTCTCGTTGTAATCACACTCCTCTAGAGAAGTGATTCTCCATCAATGTTGCTAATGTTCCCCCAGAGCATGTGCTTATGAGGCGCTCTGTCTGCCATCTTTGATAGCTGCATGAGTTGTTTGTGACAACAGGCATTTTCTAATGCCTGTGTAAATTCTCAGCCACTCAGGGGTCACAGCAGCTGCTGAACAGGCTTCAAACAGAAACAATCTGACTTTTGCTCATTTTTCTCTAAAAACATTTTGAAACCCTCAAGACGTCTTTGTCTATACTGTCTGCTCAGACTGTAGTGACCTGTAGTTGGAACTCAGCACCTGGAGGTCAGTCTTCCTAAGCACATTCTACGTCGGGTCAAATCAGTGACTGACACGTTTTGGAGTTTCTTTGGCCATTTGAATAATGAGGCTGTTTGTTTAATTTCTTTGGAATGATTTCCAAGATGGAGTTTTATACGCTTTAAAATCCGAAAGTGATATTTTTAAATGATGTAATTTAGCTGCACTGACCTCACAGACTCGTCGAGCATATACCAAGCTTCTTTTGGTTTTGATTAGAAATGTCATATGTATGTAAAGTTTTAACACCGTTTCAAACAAAAGAGTTTTTTTATGCTGTTTTTCATTTTGGAAGGTGTAGATTTTTTACAGATCTCTGTATAAACATGGGCCTGGTTCCTTAAATTACTGCTACAGTTCAAATCTTTTGAACTGCGTCACTGTTGGCTAGTGAAATGTTTGTGCAATTAGAAGAAAACCTATTTAGTTTTTGCTGTGTTTAATCATATAAGCTGGATTGTTTAGCATTCAGTGTTTCTTTAACATAGAATAGGGCTGCACTAACAATTTTTTTACTAATTAATGGATCTCTTGTGTTTTGAGATCAATCTATTATTAATCTGATAGAAAAGGGTGCCTTACAGTTTTTATGTATAATATTAAAGCTATGTTGCGCTAAAACCATGCTGCTTGAGGAGTTCTCGATAGAGCATATTTACTAATTAATTTTTTTTTCTCTTTAAAATGTAAAATGAATGTATGAATGTATTCCTGCTCTGATTTCAGCGTTCTACTTGCAAATAGAAAATTTTAGAGTCTGTTAGTGAAGTCCGTGATTAATGCATTACTGTATCAGGAGTAATGAACATCATTATAAAAAGAGTTGTCTTAATGCAGTTTTAAAATGTCTTTTTTTTATTTTGGACTGATCAGCTATATTTTTTTGATAAACCTGAATATTTTGTTTAGAAAAAGAAAAAAATAAATAGAAATTCTCGAATAATTGAGAAAAAGCTGTTTCGTGCATTAAAGGTGTCTGGAAAGAAAATGCGATGGACGTTTCAGAGATACATTGCTTTCAGAAATTGAAACGATGACCTTGACTGACGGCGAGAGATGGAATAATCCAAATGCCAGCGGCCACTCTGGCATTTTTGTGCCTCTAAGTAATGTGATTGTTTTTTTCTATCTTGCATGAAAAGAGAAGGTCCTTTCTCTTATCTTCCTGCATCTTCTCCATGTAGAGATCATGCCTTTCCATCTGTGCATAGAGCTCTTGCAGATAGTCGGAGCCTTTTGTGCAGCATAAAATAAATCCATTCTCTTACAGGAACGCATTTTTGAATAGGGTGGTTACAATGACTTTAGGACCTGTTATCATTTGCACATTCGATCTTAGTACAGCAACACATACTCTAATGGCACGTGCACATCTTTGGTTTGCAAAACAATGTAGTGATCATTATTTGGTATCTTGGTAGATCAAGGTGCATCACTTTATCTGCCAATCTTATTCTGATGGTTGAAGGATTTCCTGTGGGCTGATGAGTCTAACATGATGATGCAGTCTAGACCTAACAGATCACCTTCATTCATGTTATTTTAATATTTGAATGTGTTTTTAATTTTTAATTTTTTTTTCTGTTTGAAAACTGTTTGCAGAGACCTAGTCTATGTTTCTTGACTTAAACAGTAAAAGAAGATCAGATGTGGAGGAATAAAAGGCCTCTTATACAGGGGTTTTCTGTGCTTGGCACATTTAACCTTTTTGTTTTTTGTTTCTTTTTTTCTAAGATTTCAGCTGAAGTTTTAAAGATTTTAGCTTTACTTCATAGTGTTTCCATCATGATCACCCAGGTTACTGGATATTTTATAAAATCAATGACTACATTAGAAATACTTCAGGAAGTCCTAAAGGCTTATAAAACTAGGTGTCACAAACCTCAGTTTATGTTATTTAGATTGTACTTGATTGAGCAACACAGATTGTGTTGTAGAAGGAAAATTATCATTTTTAAACCTATTTACTAAACTTAAACTCAAGTTTATTTTGCTTTTGTAATCACACCTCTTGATAAGGATCAACATACACAGCATACATGTCAGGGATAAAATTGGGATATAGTTGAAGAAGTGTTAGAAGAAACTCATTCAAAGGTTCAAACTTCTCACAGAGCTCCAGTCAGAACTTTAGCCACAGCTGTGGGTGTGGATATTTTGCATTCATGCGTCTCTAAATCACACAACTGGGAATCTGGCAGTTACACTTTAACGTTATTCACTTTTAAATACTTATTTACTCTGTTGGCATATCACTTTAAAATCCCCCAAGAATAATTAAAGATATCAATGAAATGTTTTTTTTTACGATTCAGATATTGCAACTTTGAGTATTAAGTGATTTTTATCTGAAACAATATTGGCATGAATTCTGCATTCTTGTTCATTTTATAGCGTGGAATGTTAGAAAAGGCTTAAGTGAATTTACTCAAGCAGAGAGCAATAGTCAAGCATAATAGGTATTAGGATACTTTTTTTTATTTATTTATTTTTTTTAATGTCATTGCATCATAAGTCATAAGTACAGATTAATTAAATTAACTCTCTGCATTTCACACATTTTAAACCGATTTCGGACAGATTTCCAGTATCATTATGTTGAGGCATCTAGGGCTGGATCATGTGGACCAGAATTGGTATCTTATTTTGAAATATTTATCTTGATAATGGTTTTCTTTCCATAAAATATGACCTCTGGATCAAAGCTTTGTCCCAAATGTTTGTCCCAGAATTTCTAACAAACCGCTGTAGATAAGCATAGGAACATGCATGAAATGGATGAAAAATAACCTTCTGGCATTCATAAAAGTACAATTATATTGTAGCTGAGACCATCTCAATATAAACAATATTAGAATCATTTATTTTTTAGAAAAAATTGTGATATGTTTAAAATCTCAATATATTATCCAACCCTAAAGACATCCCTAGTAGTAATGGGATATTTTGAAAGGCAGAAAGTTTTGCAAGGCACTGAATGACTCTGTTGGTATACGGCTGTCAGGAGATCCGGGGCTGAACTAAATTCTCACAATTTCACAATAAGATACAAATACTGCACTTGTTTAACACTTAAATGTTGGAGTATTTGGAGATGGGAATAAGCTGCACTCACTTGCTGTATAAAAAAAAAAAGAGTGATTATATTTGTTCCACAGTTTGGCACAGGAATAATTTAAAACCTGTTTGAATTCCTATTCTATTAAAAATATACGAGTAGGTATTGAGACTATCTGTTTCCTGGGCAATTTTTAAAGATGTACGCTGAATTCCATAGCAACTTATCCATGACCTGAACAAAATGCCCATCACTGATATTAACTAATGCTGGTCTCTAAGGTTTCTTTTTTTTTTGTCTGTTTTTGCAAACCCATGTTTCCTTCTGAAAGAAGTTTTCTGCTGGAGTTCATCTAATAACCATGAAACAATGGCTTAAAGACTGATGGCTCCGATCTTATAAAGGTTTTTGTGGATTAAAAACTAGGGCTGCAGTTAACAAATTTTTTATTTTTTTTTTTTGATTAATTGATTAATAATTGGACAGCAAAAGGTTCCTTAAGACCTTTTGTAATATTAAACCAGCTTAAACTAAAACTTTTCCACCTGAGGAGTTCTGGATAGATATTGACAGACAAAAAAGACTTTTCTTAAAAGACACAATGTTTACAAGTTTTTTTTTTTTTAAAGATTTGGTAGAAAAACTGCCTTAAGTGGGTTGCTCTGTCAGCTAAACGCATGTTTTACAGTCTCTACAGTCTATTTAACTATTAATCAGTTACTAAATTAGTTGACGATTATTTCCATTATTGATTAATCAGATTGTTTTAGCCCTGATTAAAAACCCTAATAAACTAGATAAGATTGGCAAAGCTGTTCTGCTGACCATCTGCAATTCGAATAATGGTGTCTTTATAGGAGCAAAGGTGTTAACATTTCTGAAGGTTTACCAGCAAAATATAGTGATTTGTCTTCCTTAATGCTTACTGCTGAGCAGTTATTTTTAAAACTAGACTAAATGTCTTAGTGGCAGATGGTTCAGGAAAAGCAGCCGAGGTAGCATGCATACATTAATGCAGTATTGTTCTTGACCTTCTCCACAGTGACTCCTACTGGTTCATGGACCAATCCTCCTAAGGAGCACCAGGAAGGGGAGGCAGGCTTTGCCGTCATGCTTCCAAACACCGATGGGGTTCACATTAAGCCTTTTCACTTCTGTAAAAAGACAATTTCTTTGTCCGCCATGAAAGAAGCAGGTAAGGATGGTTGTTTAGTAACTTGACAGAAATGTCAAACCTCAACATTAATTTTTTTTTTTTCTTGTGCTCTTTCCCAGGACTGGTTGACAACCCAGAGCTACGTGTTGTTCTGATGTTCATCTATGAAGCCTATAAATCTGGAGGAGCACGGTTCCTCAACCAGATTCTTGAGCCGCTGACAAACAGCAAGGCTTTGATTGCAGGAGGTCTGGTAGAAGGGGTCTTCTCTCCGTCCAGAGACTGGTAAGTTAAATTTTCCAAAACATGATAAAACCATGTTTTAATGCTTATTCTGTAGCACTTAAAGTTTTCGTAATCTCTGTAGCTGCAGCAAGGGAGCATACGGTGTGATTGGCCTGGCTCTGAGTGGCCGTAAAGTTCAGGGAGCATCTGTGCTCCTGGACCAAGAAGTCGGTACCGCAAAAGAAGCAGAAGCCACGGTCCGACGGCTAAAGGCAGCCAGGATTCCTGAGAGAAACACTCTGGGCTTCATGTTCGCCTGTGTGGGGAGGGGCCAGAACTACTACCACAACCAGCACAACGTAGAGGCAGACGCTTTTCATAAGGTCTTCCCTAATACGCCGCTGTTTGGTCTCTTTGGAAACGGCGAGATCGGCTGTGACCGGATTGTTAAAGACGACTACACCCTTTGCAACTCCGAGTCCGACACCTTGCAGCATGAATACACCACCGTCATGACCCTGGTTCACTTGGGCTGAATATACAGAGGCGACAAGGAATAAGAGGAGAGAAGTCAAAGTGTCATGCTTCTGTTGTTAATAACAGTTTGGAGCAGCACACATTATGTACAAAGTATTATCCAGGACATTGCTGTCTTCGTTTATGCTTTCAAAGCAGGATAATAATCCCCTCGGCCATAAATATTTAATGGCCACCCCTGGATGATTTCAGGTCTTGGAGACTTTGTGGTTAAAAAATGTTCCACAGTGTACATAATAAAAAAACAAGTTCTGCTTGTCTTAGGACGTTTATATTTTACACCCCGATTTCAGGCACATTTAAAACATATTCTTCCCCCTGAGTGCACTTTTTCTTTATGGAAGTATAGAGAATGAGGTTGTTTGTCCTACTCAAAATCAGGGTAAACTTAAGCAAGTTTTGTGTCACCAGTATTAACATACAGACATATATATATAAAAGTATATAACTTTTTTGGGGGGGCGGGGGCTTATTTTTGGTTATGTTTGCTTGATTATTCTGTTAATTTGGCGCAGTGGTTGCATGTCAGCCTCTGAAGCCTAAAGCAGATTTTCAGAAAGGCTGCCACTTGGCTGTCTGAGCGATGCTGAGCCATGGAGTGAAAAGTTTTCTGCTTTAGAGTCAAGTTGTTGACTCTAAAACAGGAAAATATAAAGGAAAATGTTTGGGGTTTCAGGGGATCAATAAATTCTACTTTATTTGAAATTATTTGTCCTGCATGATGTATGGTTACCATTGCATTATTAGTTCAGATACACGTTATCGATGGCGCTCTGTTTTACAGAGGCCTCTTCAGTGCCTAGATTCGTACTCCGTTAACTTTTTCATATTTTATAAAGTTGCAATGTATTTTGCTGGATGTCATGCTATAGACCAACAAAATGAGAATAATTGTAAATTAGAAGAAAGTGATGCATGGCTTTTTTTTTTTTTTTTCTCTAATGCTCAGAATTGGAGACATTTAGCCTGCATTTGTATTCAGCCTCCTTGAGATATTTTCTTTGGTATTATTCCTGAAAGTTGTATTGAGTGTCTACTGGTTTTGTTAAAATAGATTCTTAAATTATTATTTGCATCACAGCACAGCCTTAGTAAAATGAGATGGAGAGCTTCTCTAAAATCAGTTTTTTTTTTTTTTTTTAAACAGGTTCTCTGTTGGATTAAAGTCTAGAATGTCACCTTGCCATTCTTAAGAGCTTTCTGTATGTTTAAGGTTATTATCCCAGTTTTAAAGGAACGTCAGTCCTATGGCGAAGTCTTTGGTAGCCTCTTTAAGAAACCTTCCATCGTTGAATACAGTCCAACACCTTCAAAGCGCATGCTTAGTAATTTGTCTCGTATAATTAGGGCTCTTCCTCCTATATGTTTGTGTCTCTGTAGTGTTGTTTGCTAGCTTAACCTTGCTTTAAACTTCCACCACATAGTTATTATAATTTTTCTGGTGTGTTACTTGGTCCTTGTGACGCTGTGTGGTCCCTAATGTTCTCTAACAAACAATGGCAAGGTTTTCACCAGTCAGTTGCAGTTATTCTAACAAACACAACTGAACTACTAAGGATGACGTCCGGCTGTTGGCTCAAATTGGTTTAATTTAGGGAAGTTAAAGGGGCTGAAAATATATGCATTTGTTTTATGGGTTCAAATGTACAAGATGTCAAATGTGGTTTCTTCCCAGTTCATAATTATTTGCTACTTTGTGTTGGTCCATCTCATAAAACTGTAAAAATACATTTGAGTTTTTAGATATAGCATGACAGAATGTGAAACAGTTGGTAGGAATAAAACGCCATTGTGTCTAATAGCATTCAGGCCTCTGAAAATGTGTCTGAAATTTAGGTTAAAATCTTTTCTTAGGGCTAAGCTCTGTTGTGAAATGGTGCAATTTCATTCTAAACATGATTCATTAGATTGCTTAAAATTGCTGTTTTTTAATTGTAAAAAAAACCTACAACAGTGATTGTAACAAAAAATTATTTAAGTTCAGCAATCCTTTTTTTTTTTTTTTTTAGAAGATAATTGCTTATGTGCTCTCCGCCTTTTAACTGTATATAATGATACATCCTGTATAGTTTCTGAAATAAATATAGATAAAAACTGTATCGTTTAAGCAAACCTGATTTTTATCCCTGCACCTTTTATTTCTACTCTGTTTGTTCTGCTCCAGCCCTCAAACTAGAAATGCTGTTAAATTGAGTCATGAAACTGTATTAAAAAGCACTATTAAAGTGTAGGTTTCCACTGATAAATTTTAACAGACCATCTTTAAATATGCGTGCCAACCTTTTACATCCTCAGCAGCCCACGTCCAAGCGTGTTTAAAAGAAAGAAGAGACTCTTCATTTTGATGGATGTGCTCTTTAGCCATCGACTGGCTAATCCCGATGAGTGACAAATGGTTAAGCCAATTGCTGTACAGGCAGTTTATGTTCCCATAGTATCTTTATTTTGGGACATCAGAAAAACACACACACGCATAAACTCCGCAGCTCACGACGAGAGAAGCGATCAGCCAGGCGTAAAGCTAACAAAATCATCTGTGGCAATAATCCGATTCTACATTGGCCTAAATTGGGAACCTGAACACCTTTACTCGCAGGTTTTTTTTTTCTTCTCCCTCTGACGCACACAGATCAACCTCACGGCTAATGTTTTATTGCTCTGTCGTGACCGGATCGATGCAAATGTCACACGATTCATTGCCACTGCCAGATTTGTGCACTAAAAACGTGCATATTTTGGCTGCCTTTGCGTGAAATTCGCGGTGTTCCGTTCTCCAGCCGCTCCTGAGGCGTCTCGCTGAGAGAAGCCGAGGCTCCGTTTCAGCACCTGGACAGCTCCCCTCTGTCAGGGTTCCCTGCTGCGCACACCGGGGGAAGCCCTCGGCTGGGGAGCGCAACCCGGTCCCTTAACTCAACTTGTCTCATCCAGGGGAGAAGGGCCGCTGCTTAAATCCTTGTGACTATACTTAAGAAAAGCTAACATGGCTCTTGACGAATGACGCTGCTTCATGCATTCGAGCTACAGTCTCCGCTTGGTTTTGCACCGAAATCCACGCAGCACAAGGGAGCAGCGAGAACAGCTACGGTGCTCGTCCAGTGCAAAAGTGCAGCGGGTTGCTGCAACCTACACGCACTGCGAGCCTGCTGCTGCTGCTGCTGCTTCACTCACAGTGATCACCACCGAGGGAGACATTAGTTTCTATAGGGGAGCAACTGGAGGCACAGTTACGCATCAACAATGTAAATCTTTTACAGGTAAGAGACTCTCTCTGGTTTATGTACAAGTGCATCTAATAGCAAAAACAAAAAACAAAACGAAAAACAGAAAAATAATATATTTATACTTATAGTTTTTTCGGCTAGGGAAGTCTGGAAGCCAACTCCTCAGGTCATAGGATGTAGAGCTGCAGGTAAATTTCTAAATAAGAGTTAACATCGACAAAAGTTATCTTTAATGCTTACAGTTGCATTTTCTGAGCCCATCTTATTTTAATTTGAATGTGATAGGTTCACCACTGTGCAGATTTGACAAATACTGTTTTGCAGGCCACCATAAGTTATAGGGATGTACATTACTACTCATAAGTTAAGCCAAATGTCTACAACACTCAAATTAACAAAAAAAAAAAGTCTCTTTCAAAAGCATTAATATCCTTGTGCCTTTTCACCAATTTAGGTTTTTACAACTACATTTGAAGTAGTTTATCAATTTCAAAACAATGTATTGCGTATTTGGGGACCGGCAGAATAAGGTTCAATGTTTAAAAATTTTAAACATACTGGATGGATTCGTATTTAGTTCCATGAATCAATACTACTGTACGTAGCTTTTGGGATGTAATTTGTCTCTATCAGCTTTGTACATCTTGTGTTTATAATAATATAGAAAAATTTAAGAGGTGTAAATAGTTTTAGTATGAAACATTTTCCAGCTGGATGAAATTGTTATATCAGCCAGACTATATTGACTCATTTGTTTAACAATCCCATTATATTTCAGTTCTTTACAGTGTTACTAGATGTGCTCTACCCAGGTTCAGCATGAAACCAGGATCTCCTAGGTGGAAAGGTGAACTGCAGCTCTAGAACAGGCAGAAGTGAGCTGGGATTGCGAGGAAAGACATCAACAACTAATTGCTTTCCCTTCTACATCACCCATCACGATGGCTAATGCTGAGTAAGTAAAGTGCATGTGTAATTTACAATTGATCTCCCCAATCAAAATAAAAAAAACAAATCTTTAATTTAGTTGAGCCTTTCCCAAGCACCCCTCTTTATTGAGTTTTTCCCACTCTGCCTCTATTTTCTCATCATTTAGCAGTTTTTTGATGTCTCATTTGGAACAATAATGACCTTTATGCACTGAGACACTGATCCCATTGAGGTGCCGCTGACCCTCGTCTGTGTGAATGAGCATGCACATGTTTGGATACAGATTTGTGGAACACACCTGCACAGTGCCAACTATGGAGTATTTATTCTGTTGACACAAATGCTGATCACTTGACTGATTCTTCAGATAAAACGTCATCTATGGCTACCAGAGTATGTGTCGTTAGAGAAGCTGATTTACAGAGGCAACATAAATCTTGCTGTGTCTGGGAATTTGATGTTAAAAGAGGGAAATGCTGAAAACTGCTTTACTTTATCAATGTGTAACACAGGTGGTGTCGTATTAGTGTGTAATTTGTCTCTTAACCAGCAGCATTTATTCTCTTGACCTAGATGAATGGCCCCAAATCATCGCTCCATTTTGGCTTCAATGAGAATACCACTTTAATTCCTTATTTCCTATAAAGCTCAGTTTAGTAGCTCTTTGGGACATCACCACATGATAACATGACTGAAGTGACATGCATCTAGGAGAAAGCATATTTATAGGCTCTTGTGAATACCCTGTTTATTTCTCCTGGGGCTTTCTTTATCTTCATTCTGTGCACCATGAAAACATGTGTATAATTTTTGTGTTTTCGATTTCATGGGAAAAAAAACAGCTTGTAAAATTAACTTAGAGCTGAATATGTCAGATAACCTGTTTGGGTTCTGTTGTCTTAATATAGAGTTAATCAGGCTGCTGTCCGTCAATATAGATATCTACTTGTTTATGAAGATGCATCAGTACAAATTTAGATTTGTTTTGGAAATTGAATTTATTTTCAAAGAGCGATTGTCGTATTTATATTTTGTTTATTTTGCTGTTTATGGCTCGCAATAAGAAACTAATAAAGGTTTCTTAGAAAATTTGAATATTGCAAAAGATTAGGGCCGAAACCATTAATCAGAATAATCGATATTTGAATAGTCGTCAACTAATTTAGTAATTGATTTATTGTTAACTGGAGTATAGACACTCTAAAACATGCCTTTAGCTGACAGAGAAACCCACCCAGAGCAAGAATTATACCAACATTGTAAGAAAATATATAAACATTTAGCATTTAAGATGAAAAAACTTTTTCTCTGTTTATATGCTCTTTCCAGAACTCTGTAAGTGGAAAAGTTTTAATTTTACCTGGTTTATTTCTTTAATGAACATTTCCCTGTCTGATTATTATTGATTAATCAAGAAAATAATTGAGAGATTAATCTATTAGAAAAATAATCGTTAGGTGCAGCCCCACAAAAGATTAATAACAACAGATTTTTTTATATAGGAATATCAGCCCACTGAAAAGTATTGCCCCTGTCTTGTAACTTATATGGACTTTGTGTTTGGTTGATGCTTCTTTTGCAGAGAATACTGTAGAATGATTACTGTAGGAGGTCTGCATTTTGAAACGGGCAAATACCTTGAACATTACACCAGGTACTGGTTCTGTTGGATTTCTGGACAGGTGTCAAATCATGCCAAAAATTTTTTATCAGCATCTCCAAAAAAAAAAAAAACGTTTCTGGAAACCGCTTTAAATAGCCTGGTAGAACTCTGCGCTAAGTTTGAAACTGATAACATCTAGACTATCATCAAGAGATGACATGCTCCCCAAGATCATCTTTCCTTTTTTGTTTACCTTTATTCATGCAGGCATTCTCACTGAGATCCAAAGTTTAATAAAAAAAAAAAAAAAAAAATCAAGGCTTGATTTGATAAAATGAGACAAACAACAACAACAACAACAAAAAAAGACTGATAGAATTTTGAAGAGACTTTGAAATTATCCAATTGGACCTCAGGGGACTTTACTGCAGGGGAAGAATGGGTTGATAGAGGGAAAAAATAGCAGATAAATCCCATGTTGTGGATAAGTGTGTGTTTTGCTGTTAAAGCAACAAATCCTGCTACCGTTTGTACCATAAAAATTTTACCCAAACTCTTAAATGAGCTTTGCTCCACACAGTCTTACTTGAGCCACAGTTATACTTGTAGCTTTTATACCTTTTTCTGGCACATTTCTACCTTCCACTTAACTTTCCATCCATATGCTTTGACAGCACTTTTCTAACACAACAGCCTCTTGGCTCACCTTCAGTGTGGAAGCTGTGAAGGACTGCTCAAGTCAGCAGTCTTCATCATATCATATTCATCAATCAAAAACAAACATTATTTTGATCAGAAATAATAATACAATTTTCTGAGTTTCTGATCGAGTTTCATTTTACTGTGACCAAAATGAGCAGAAATAAATACATAATATGTTGTACATGTGATTCTGATTGCAATGAATCTACATAACATATACGTTTAAATTTTTGAATAAAGTTACTTAAATAAATGTAGCTTTCTTGAACAATTTATTAATTAACTCACCTGTTTGATGTTTGGAGAAATTCTGTAAATTAAATGCAAGTCTCCTCAGGGGCACATATGGCCTTACTTTTTGTTTTAGATTCTGTTGTTTTGCCATTTTTGAGTAAATTCTCCACAAGTTGCCAAAGAAGGTCTTAATATAATTGTCCTCAGTTTTAATAAGAACTATTTTTAATGTTATATATCTAAAGAAATTAAAAACACTATGCAATTATTGGGCAAAGTTAGATAGTGAGGCCATATAAAAAGGTCTGCGGACATTTCCGTTCTGAAGGCAACATGTGCAGTCTTCATCCTGCTCCGCAGGGCTCTCTGGGTCTCCTGTGTCTTTTACTGCTTCTATCTGGAAAGGTTAGATAAGACACTGGTCACTCCAGGGCCAGAACAGTCCATTGTGCAGTTTCCAAATTCATCACAGGTTAATCTGTTATATTATTAATGAGCTACTGTGCTCGGCAGACTTCATTAATATCTGCTGGCAAGAAGTAATGGAAGTTTGTCTGGAAACAGAATTGGCTTTTGTAGTGAATAACCTGAGGCAGTTCTTAAATTATGTTAAAGTGACAGATGCTTCAACATTAACTATGTTAAACACAGACTTTTAAAACTCAGGCTCTTGTTCAGCAAGAACGACAGGCCTAGCTTTGTAAGAGCCAAAAGGAAGGGACCTCTTTTGCTCATGTTGCCATAACCTACATTGTATTTATTGTAGTAAATGAAGGACAGGTTTGTGAGGGAAGAATTGCTTCCTCTTCTGGATAAAAGTAAACAATAGCGAGTTGTTGGTTGTATCTGACTCCTTTGAGGCAAATCTTTAATGCCCGGCAGCGCCCAGCTTCTCTAAAGTTGTTCTCAGAGGCTGGTGGGAGCGAGGAACATCTGTGATGTCTGCAGTACTCTGGCCCAGTTTGAGGTGTGTTTTTTGATCTTTGCAATTTGGAAACATTCTTATTGTCTTATGCTTGCTCTTTTGTGTTAGTTGATAAAGTTTTTCAAAATGGTTGAATTTGTTAGAAAGCTTCTAGACTTTCAGAAAAGAAGTAATAAACTGTCAAAGGATACATTATTTTCATATGAAGTTTATTTCTACGTAAATTATATTCCATAACCATTTCTATATCATGTTTTATATAGCATATTAATTATTAGATGAAAGAGACATTCGCTAGATATACTTTTAAACATTTCACGTATTAAAATTTTTGGAAACATTTACATTTTCACTATTATCTTTTCTACTTTCTCAAACCCTTTTAACTATTTTACATGTTTTCACATTAAAACACAAACTTCAGTGTATGTTTACTACCCAGCTATTTGAGGCTGTCGAGAATCTTTGTCACCATGAAATCAAAATAAAATTTTATTGACTCATTTGAGGCAGAATGCACACAACATGTAGATTTAAATTTAAAGCACTGCTAGAGATCAGTACATGCAAGCTTCCTAAGAAGACACACTTATCAACAACCCTAAAAGAAAAATATGAAACATCCTTAAAAATTGAAAGAGAAACTCTGTAAAAAAAAAAAAAAACTAGAAGAAAACCTGCACATAGATATGTAGTATTTTCCTAAAGTGCGGTTTGTGCCAAAGGAGTCTATAAAATGGGCAGATGGTCTATTTGATTCTCAGCAAGGGGGGTTATATGTGTCTGAGGAGGGATGAGTTCAGTCAGATTACATGGACTGTGTCCTAGAACATACACATTCAAATCCTTCCAAAGGTCTCAGTTGGACATAGGTCTGGACTTTAATAGTTAATTCTTAAACATGAATATTTGATTTTAACTACTACATTATAATTTCGGGGTGTATGTTTATTTTTTATTGTGCTACTGGAAGGTGACCCTCTGCCCACATATTTTGCAAATTGTTTTATTAACAGCTTCCTTGTTCTTCTCAAACAAAAACCTGTACCATTTTGAGCAAATTCAGGTGTCCCCAGTGTGAGCATCTGCTGCCGTGAGACTGTCCATTGCACTAAAGTATTACATAACGCTGTAAAGTTCATGACACTCATAACTCCTTTGCCACTTCTTTGGGTGCAAAGCTCAATTTTTCTTATATTTTCTAAAGCACCTTCCAAGCTTTGTGTCCATTTTCCTTTTGTTTTAGATTAAATGGCTTTAAGTTTTTCTATTAATGATGTTTCCAGTTGTTTTTGGTTTTTATGCTACAGAACATTTTAGACAGTGGCTTAAATAGGGAGTGTTAGCCTAGTGGTTAGAGCAGTGCGCTTGTGCTTTGAGAAGGTTGCAAGTACCCGGTTTGATCCATAAAGCCTCCACTCTGTGTCCCTGAGCAAGACCCTTCACCCCACACTGCTCCCCCGGGTGCTCCACGATGGCAGCCCACTGCTCCCCAAGGGGATGGGTTAAATGCAGAGGTAAATTTCTCCTATGTTTCTCCGATCACTAAAGTTCAGTTATT